GACGGAGACAGATCCAGTCTCCGAAACATCGTGGTCTTTTGTCTTTTACATACCAGACGATGGATGAAGTCCAAAATAAGCCAGAAGAAGTACAGTTTACACCATCGTCAGAATCCTTTCAAATGCTCATGTTCTCCATATATCCCGTATATCCGAATTTTCATCTTTGTATCCGAAATTTTCTGTTTTCTATAGAGGAAAGAGAAACACGCGTAAATCACGAAATCAATGGTTCATTTAAAAATAACAATACCTGTTTCATTTATGAATTCTAAGGAAGAAACACAACGAGAAATGCTTCTTGTATATAAATTCACATGAGCATTTGACCGCTTGAAACAAACCAATTTCGAAGTTTTACGATGCCTGCTGAAACTAATCGCCATATAATTGGATTCGTATCCAGACTGCATTAAGCTGTCTCTCTGACTGAGGTAAATACCAATGAAACACAGAAACACGTGTTTCCTGTCACACTTAAATTGAAAATAAATCCACATCTAATAGCGAATAACGCTAGACGTGTGTATTCAAAGGCCTTCTAACAGGAGTTCGGGAATATGAACAACATTCCAAGTTCATGAATGTCCCCAAAACAATTCAACGTCCCGCAAACTGCCTAAGCTTGAACACTGAACATTTTTGGAGCTGAAAGGCGTAAACAAGTCGACGAGACATGAGGGCTGCCGATTCTCACAAAAGAAATTTGTTTTAATCCCCAGAGAGAAACAATTCGTCACGATGCACAATGGTAACGGGGCAACAACATGTACCTGTGGCAAAAGAAAAAAGTGACTGTTCATGGAAATTTGATGAAATAAAGCGATCCATTCAAAATAGAAACCAAATATAAAGTGTTGGGGCTTATATCTCACTGAACAATATAAAACACAAATGAGTGCCCACATATCATGCTGGCAATACTGTCCGTTGTTCTGAACACATGCATCAGTCAACTTGATCGGGTTTCGCCGTCGAACACCGTAATATAAAATATGTATAATGCTCTATATTATTGCACGATTTTAAATTAACTGTCCTGTACAAGCCGGACAATACATGTCCCGTTAACACTGCATTCCTTCTGAACCAAACTTTCTTTTACATATACAATTTACAGACCTTGTGACGGTCTACTGGACGCCCAGGCTCATTATGGGGATTGGAATCACTTGTCCTCGCTTAGAGTATAAAAAGGTGATTAATTTATTGATAAAAGAACATTCAACTGTTTTATTCTAGAATTAGGATGTTCATGGTCGTATCAACATGCCGGCCTTCCGGAGTGTGACCGTCTGCAATTTCATAGATAGGACCAAAGTTTCGGAGGAGCATGGTGCTTCAATCTTCAGGGTAATGTGAAGTGCTCACCCAGGTTTCGGAGAAAACTTCTGAGTCAGTATGCCGGGTAGAAGAGTAGGAATCAAAGCTTCGGAACTAAACGCCGCCT